ACTTCAGTTAAAAACAAGGTTTGAACAAACTCTAATGTAGCCGCAATGTTGGTTTTTCATTGCCTTAGGGTCTCTATTGCTGATAGTACTAATGAAATACCATAGTTTTAAATGGCGAATGGAGAGGCGATTCGCCCATAGCCTCGCCACGAGGCGAGGCGATTCGCCATGGCGAGGCCTCGGCAACACAAGTCATCAAAGCTTAAAAAATATATTTATATGGATAGTAATATCATATATTTGAGTTTAAGTGCCAAAAATAACCTTAAATATTCTCAAATAAAATAATATAAATTAAATTTGGTTCTAATTACTAAAAGCATCTCAAACTTAAATGTGAATACTAGTAACATTACAAAAAAAAATATTAAATTTACACTGTGTAATAACATAAAATAGAAAAATGTTAAAGAGGGTAAATAAAAAGTGTAAAGTAAAAGTAAATGAAATAAAGACGTTGCACCCTTTCACCTTTGACTATCGACCATACTAGTAAACATAAATAAAAGTGAAAAATGAAGAAAGAAGAAAAAGAGAGAAGGTAGAACAGGAAAACAACGGGAAAAGAAAGGGAAAAAAAAAAAATCACCTCAGTTCATGGTTCTGGAGATGGAGTGAAGAAAGAGCCTTTTAATTTTGTTCTCTTTTTTTAAAAGAAAAAAAAATGTACTACATCTTTAATTTCTCTAAAAGGTACTGAGGCGCGCCTCAGAGGCGCCTTTCGCCACGTGAAAAGGCGAGCCGAGGCGATCTGAAGCAAGCGCCTCGCGAACAGGGTCGCCTCACCTCGAGGTGTCGCCATGGCGTCGCCATTTTAAACTATGTGAAATACGAGTAATTTGACTTGTTTATACCTTCATGGTAATTTGCATTGCATTAAATATAGAAGGAAATTTTCTTTTCACAACTCAAATCACATTTATTCCAGTTAAGTTCTCATGGACAGATAGGGATCTTTCAAAAAACTTGCAATTAATATGACAAAATAATTCTCAGCACATCACATTTCATATCCCAGGCACAAAATTAACTGCATTGAACTCAGAATTTGAAGGTACTCAGGAGGTATTCAAAGTATATTCCAGAAATTTATGAAAGTTACATTACTGATAATGTTCATAGATGGTGTTCTGGAAAATTTGCCATTCAGCTCCAGTATTTCCAAGCGTGAAGGTTTGAAACGTAAATCTGTTAAACATGTTTGACAGATGCACTCTACCATCAAGGCTCCAGTCGAGTCAGATACAGCCACCCAACTGCAAAAGTAATAAGAACACAGCAAATGAATCAACTAATTTATGATCAAATGGCATGTGGAATGCGTGAATTGCCCTTCTTTCTTGCCAAAGACAAAGTCATCATATGAAATGCGTACCCAAAACCTTTTGTAAATAGATATGACTGACACAACAAGATCATGTGATACTTAAATTGGCAAATGTACATAGCATGCCAATGCACATCCCCATCCCAACGTAACTCATAAAACAATGCCATCTTCTGATACAATTACGCTGCTTGAAAGGTCAACATACAAAAACGAAAATATTCTTCTGCTCGTAAAACCCAAATCATCTGACCCAACTTAGACTGGAAGAGCTTACAGCACATTACTCTGGCAAAGAATGTCAAATAAAAAATATTTTCGTAATCATGCATTACATACCATGATGGCTTCAATCTCTTCTTGAGATACTGGCGTTCTTTTGGGCTGATCAGAAGCCTTTCCCCCGACTGACAAGCTGGATGGGGCCCTCGAGAAGAACTTTTTAACAAGATCTTCATTCTTATGAATGTCATTATTTGCGGATTTTTCATCAACATGGCGTGTAGCACCTAAAGGAACAGAAGAGATTCCGAAGGCTAATTATGGAAAATACTTCGGGATTCACAAAGTTTTTCAAGACATCCCATACTTGAGGTAGATTCTAATCCACAAATTTTCGAAGAACTAGTAACAACTCCCTGGGCAACATTACACTTGTGCACTTGATTTAACCACCTAATATTCGATTGCTAGTTACTGGGACAGGACACACATTGAACCTTTATATTTCTCATCCAAATTGGAGCTTAAGCATGTTAAAATAAATATAAGTTCGTTCAAATTTCATTGACGAGTAAAAGATCTTGTGAACTTTAGCTGATATGACTACTAGTTACACCAAGGAGATTTACATACAAAGTAATAGCCCATAAAGATAAACTTTCTTCCATTTTCGATCGAAATAACTTCACAAATGCACATAAATTCCAGACCATCCAATCTAAAATTAACACCTATTCAAAAATATATAGACTCTATAGAGAACATGCAAATGCAACTAAATGTTCAAACTTTCCACACCCTTAGGCAAGACATTGATACCTTGAAATTATTTACCGATAACAGAAGTGCGGAAATAAAGATTTCAACTGGCACGACACACTAGCTTCTCTTTCGATTCACATCATCATACTGGAATTTCTCATGCATATCAATATAATAATTTCAAGAAAAGAGACAGAATAATACCCACTTGATTTCAGGCAAAAGTTCCAAATAGAACCAATACTATTCACAAACTACATACGAATTTCAACTTCAACCCTAAATCGCAAAAGAATACAACCAATATCGTCACGAATTGTTCAGGAAAAACGATTACAACAACTGGTTATCCTGAGAAATACGAAGATTACCGCCGTTAATTACAACGATTACCAACGCAATATCAATTTCGTCCACAAATCAAATACTCCATTAAATTTAAAAAAAAAAAAAAAACTGAGATATATTTAGGAAGAAGATGATGTATATAACACACACATATACCAGAGGATTTAAGATGCCGTTGAGGAAATTTGATGCGTGGGATTCTCTTCATCGCCATTGCTGCGCCCATTTTCTCCCTTTGTGTGTGTGTATGTGCGAAGATTATTGCTTCCCGACTCCTGAGTTTATTGTCTTGCAAATACAAATTGCAAAATACACCTCGTAGATAGTGGTTATAGCAAATGAGGACCCTCATTTGAGAGTTTGTGAATTTAATCATTGTTAAAGATGAACGATATAAATATAAATAATTAAGAAAAGAGACGAAAATACCCTCATTTCACATTTTATAAATTTAATCATTGTTAATGATGAACAATATAAATATAAATAATTTACCTACATATTAGTTTTTATATTGACTGTAATAGTATAATTCTGCGATCTTGGCCGATTATGATCAATTGATTAGATAAAAAAAATACTAAATTATTATTACAAAAATTATGTACGAAATTTTAAGGGATTTGGTTACATCATAAAAAATAACTAACTAATTATATAAAAAACAAAAACAAAAAAAAACTTGCTTCATGAGTGTAAAAAATAATAAATAAATAATTTAGAAATATATTTTACATTAGAATTTTAGTGTGACTTTATAATTTGTTATTAGTAACGGTTATATAATAAAATAAGTAAAAAAAAAATATAAATACTTGATTAATTCAATCAAGATCGTGACATGCGAGTTCATTGCGGGCATAGGTTTAACCAACAGTTTGGGAAAGTACTTAGGGACTCTACCAATATATCGTAGAGTCAGGAATCATAGGTATCTTGAACAAAATAGCGGAACCGACTCGGAACCGGCCCAGTTTGTACCATGGTTTCGGTATCAAGACCCGTAGGTCCTGGCCAATTTTGAAGCTGGTCGGCGTATCAGGCCAACCCTTGCCACCTCTACGTGGATGGAAATACAGTAGCCTAACATAACTTGACAGTTCGGGCATTCAGGCAGAACGAACGGTTTAGAACATTTATGCACAACCAATATCATCAATATAAATTTGATTTTAATAATATGGGTTTACATTGGTTTAATTAATATTCTAACATAATTCATATTTAAACATGGTAAAAATAATTACTTAATTTTCAAAAAAAAAAAAAAAAATTATTTAAAGTGTCTTTAACTTACACTTGCTTCATTTAGCTTTTTTTTAAAATGAATTATCATACTTATATAATAAAATGTAATATAATGAAAAAATTAAAGAAATATTTTAACACAACAAATATTTAATCAATTAAAGAAATTAAATATTTCATCAAATATTTAAAGAAACAATTGAACATACAGAAATATTTAATAACACCCCTCTTCTCATCCATTTGTTTCCATCGCCGGAGTCGTCTTTTATCATGAATCCTGGCGCACCCCATACGAATTGAGCCTTCCAGAAGGCTGATCGCCTTGGCCCGACAGCCGCGCCTCCACAAACCGCCGCCGCCGTCCGACGATGAGGAGGAGCAGAGGATCGATGAGGGCGCCGGGAAAGTGGTCCCTCAGGTGGGGTTTGCGTAGTCGGCAACTCCAAGTGGCCCAACATCCCGGTAACCGGGTTGATGCCCAATCGAGCAGCCGTCCTCGTGGATGATGGGGAGATTAGGGTTATTCTCAGCAAGAGATGGTCAGTGCTTTCTACTCATTCTGGTTTGGTTAATTGCATTTTGTTCAATTCTTAGTAATGGTAA